ATCCAGCTCTACACCTTGTTATCTCAGATTCTCCAGCATCTGCAGTTCCTACTGTATCTGTAGCTTGCCTTGCTTTTTTGCACCAAGGGATAGGGAGGCTGTCAGAGGAGTTTTGATGTGTTAACACAGTACAATTGTAGACAGTACTTATAACTACAACTGAGCTTTGGTGGTGAAGAAAATACACTATAGGGGATTGGCCACAGCTAATCAAGCACACGGTCTTACCAAAGTATTGAGTTCTGTGTCCGTGCAATCCAGGGATCAAGCCACAGTCAGTCCTTCAGTTCAAGTGCAAACAGTCTGAGTATTGCATGTAGGTCAGTCAGAGTGCTATGGAGACATCAGTTCATGGGGTGGATCCTTTTTTTCCCTGGAATGAAACAAAGGAAAGTATTGAGTATAGAAAAGAAATGGATAGAAGACCAGTTAGTGGTGATGCACTTTGAAAGCACTTTGATGTATGTAACACTGAGAGTTGTAGTCCATGAATCTCAGTGAGATGTATGTACATTGGCAGCTTTTGAGAGAATAATGAGCCTGTGAGTTAGTAGAGAGGAGACAACGCCACTTATTTTTCTGGAGCACTGAACATTACTGACATTGTTTCTGTACTTCTGGATATTCATCTGGGGCACTGACATGTGCTGTAATCTGTGTCCAGCCTCGTCTGGTCTGATGTTGTATCCTGTAGCAGTCAGTTGGATAAAGGGCAGCCTTTCTCTCCACCACACCATCCACCAATACCCACCATCCTCCTTAAACCTACATTCACACAAGGCAACATTGGCAGACCATCAGCCTCATCACATGACCATACCTGCTCTCAGGCAAACTCAGACACCATTCTAGACTTTTAACATTTCCTTTGTAGCTCAGAGACAATTATGAGTTGCATGCTGCTGCCAGTTTGTTTAATATAGTATATTATATCATGATGGAAAATGTAACTAGAATGCTACAAACACAGATTAAGAAATAAGAGCGGGAGTCAACCATTTAGCTCTTAAAATCTCCTCTACCATTCATAAACATCATTGAGAATATGACATGTTTCAATTAAATCACCTCCCATTCTTCTACACTGCAGGGATATTGACCTAATCTTCTCAATTTCTCATCATAGCTCATTCCTTGTATCCCAGTCCAGTGAACCCTTGTTTCATTTCTTCTGGGGCATGTATATCTTTCCTCAGGTAAGAAGACCACATTTTTACAACAGGAGTGGCCTTCTCCAATGGATAAATGTAGTCAGGCTTCTTCATTTTATTTTACTCTAATCCCTTTGTAACAATGGATCCAATAATATTTGATTTCTTGCTGCACTAGAATACTAATTTTATTCGATTTCTGTTCAAGATATCCAGGTTCTTTGAAATACATATCTTTCAGTCTCTCACAGCGCAGAAAACAAAATATGCTTTGCCTGAGACATCTAACATTTGAAACATTGTGAAATAATTGGTTTTATTGTTTAAAAGTCACAGGATTAACAGCACAAAAGCTTCTTCTTTGCCATGGTAACGTTGATATTAACATGCCTGCAGGAACTTTTATTCTTTTAATTACAATTATTAATCAGAAAAAGAAGTAAACAAATAAAATAACATTCAAGGTTGTTCAGCCACCTCTTTGCTCTGAAAGGAGAGCTAACATTTCATGTTGCTTATTGCATCATGTATCTACATGACTTTCATTTTCGGAGACGCGGGAAATGAGTTATACAGCACTGAAAGACAAACAAACCTTTAATTGTATCAAGAATACAATTTAATAATAGTCAAGACAAACTTCAGGAATGGTAAAATTGGTAAGATATAAATAAAAATCAAAATGAAATATCATCCTTTTATTGGATGTTTCCCTCTGTGGGGCAATTTAGAACAGGAGGTCATAGTTGTAGGCTAAGAGTTAGTAGACTTAAAACAGAGACAGGAGGAATGATTTCTCTCCAAAGTTTGTCAATCTCGAGAATTCACTGTCCCAGAGTGTGGAGGAAACTGGGCCATCAAGTCAATTTAAAGGGGAAGTAGACAGGTTTTTAATTAGTAATGGGTTGAAGGGTTATGAACAGCAGACAAGAAAGTGGATTTGAAATCAAGATGAGATCAACCATGATTCTATCAAACGATGGAGCAGGCTCAAGGGGCTAAATTGTCTGTTCCTGCTCCTATATTCTTCTGTTTGTATTTGGAAGATTATTTTCAAGTTCAATAGCTAACTGCAAATCATCACATTCATTTTATGCTCATGTTATTTATTATTAATGCAAAGAAGATGGTTTGGCCAAATGCAACAGAGTGGTCAACCTGGATGAGGTCTGCCATTGCAACTTTGATTGTGGTGATTTCAGTGGTTTAACAGGAAGGAGAGGTGCAGAGATTCAACATTACAGTTGAGTAAAAGATGAACACATTTTAGAGGCAAAGTGTCACTCCTTGAGGAAAAAGGAGGTTGGAATTTTGGTGGTGGACTGCAAGCACAAAAAGGAAAGCGGCCCTGATTTTTGAGAAGGCAATGACAACAGTAGCTTTGAAAGGGAATGGAGAAATTCCTGAAGAGAGTGAACCATTCACAACAGCAACTAGTATGGTGATCATAAATGAGAAGAATATAGGAGCAGGAACAGACAATTTAGCCCCTTGAGCCTGCTCCATCGTTTGATAGAATCATGGGAGGGCAAATGACAGAACAACAGATGGGATTTATGGATAAACAGAACCCAAAAACAGTACGAGAGAAGGTAAGGTAATCATTGTCCTGGAGGACCGTAGGGGAATTGAATTTACACTGTTGGCAATACTTTGCACCACCAGTCATCCAGCTAAAAGACCCCTTCTAAAAGTGTTGCAATATATTGGCACGGACAGATTTTAACATAGAACATAACAGTGCAGTACAGGCCCTTCGGCCCTCGATGTTGCGCCGACCTGTGAAACCAATCTGAAGCCCATCTAACCTACACCATTCCATTATTGTCCACATGTTTATCCAATGACCATTTAAATTCCCTTAAAGTTGGCGAGTCTACTACTGTTGCAGGCAGGGCATTCCACGCCCTTACTACTCTCTGAGTAAAGAAAGACATTTTCTCAGACATCTGTTCTGAACTTTAGTTCTGTAGTGGCTCCTTTAACAAACTTGTTAAGGAAAGGTAGAAAATTTGAATGGACACAAGAATTTCACAACGTGTTTGACAATTTAATTGTTATGTTGTCAATACACTGGTTTCAGCAGCACTGAATTATGAAAAGATGTGCAATCTGACTGTTGGTGCCTGCAATATTGGTGTGGGTGTTGCTTTATAACAAGAAGATAAAGTTTAGTTTTCAAAGAAACCAAATGCATGAAAACAAAATGTTCAACAGTAGAAAAGGGAACATTGTCTTGTATTGACTCGACATCAGTTTGAAATCTTTATCTCTAACAACACTGAAGAAACTGTTTTACGTATATGGACTCTAATACTTTGTTTAGTTTTAGGAGAGATTTTGGGCCAAGAGCTTGACATTGTTTCAATTGATTTTAGTCCTCTGTTGTATAATTTTGAAAAAGAAAATTGATGTATCTGGAAAAAAAAGTGCTGTATCTGATGTCTTATTAAGAGTACATAAAAAAAAACAAATGTTGTAATCCAAATGGATTTATGTAACAATTGGTGCCATGAAATGCATTATCTGTCAATATAACCTAGAAATTGTGTTTAAATACCTTTTTGATAAGAAATGGAAATTTCAAAGATATATTTTCACTGTTTTGGGGAGATATGATGAAAGATGTCTGATTTATGTATATTGTATGAGGGACGTATGTGCATTGGTCACCTTTGTGAAGTGTTTTATTGTTTAAAAAACAAACTAGGGTACACATTCTAGAACGGGGACATCATCCTGTATGTATCAGAGAAAGTTGATGATCAACCCCTGGAGTGTTAATCATAAACTGTTTGGACTGTGATAGTTTACAACAGTTAGAGTAAACATTAGAGACTATTAGCTTGTTCTCAGTTCAGGATAATTCAGGATTGATTTCAGATTAGAAAACCCAGAGATTAAATGTTTTCAGTGACGTTTGGAGGAGACCTGATTGAGATCAGATGCATGTATACTTTCTGTCATGGAAAGAATTTTTTAAGAGCAATTCAGGTAAAACACAATTACCCCATTAGAAAAGTTTAGTTTGGGAAACTTCCAAACCAGAGATTTTTTGTTGGAAATCTGCAGATCATTAAACAAAGGGTCTCCTGACACCAACAGTACTACAGAAAATTCTGATTATACGTGTTCACTCTTTTTTACAGACTATATATGCACATTCACATGATCAATATAAAACCGTTTTTTTTTAAAGCAACACTAAAAGAAATCAAATTTGTTTAAAAGTTTTTTCTCTTCAATGATAGTGTTTTTATTAATTATGTCGAACATTTTTATGTGCTT